CCCGCTTAAGGAAACAGGAGTTCGTAGGAAGCCTGAGGAATCTGCTGGATGTCTAAACAACAAAGCAAGGGGAGATATTTCTAAATCCAGGAACAAGCCAGCCAGCGAGGCCCCCCGGCACGTCCTTGCCCCCCCAGTGGCCTAGACAGTGGTCACGATTATCTGGCTCTCTGTTGCCTCCGCCTCCCCACAGGGACTGTACCTCCAGAGCGTGCGTCCCTGAGCCCAGCCCTTGGGGGCCGTCCCAGAGCAGGCGGCCTCTCGAGGGAGGTGGGGGGAACAGACAAGCCCCCCGGGGCCCTAGGCTCCCCTCTCCAGCCCCAGAACCCTTACTGAGGCAGCCCTGAGGGGTGGGCACCTTCTCGTCTGCGTTTTCCAGATGAGGAAACTGAGGCACAGAGATCGCAGGTTGCTCGTGCTCACGGGGCTGGTCAGTGGAGCGGAGACTCAGGTCCCTGACCCCAGGGCCTGTGGGTCCCTCGGGCCTGCCCCCCTGCCCGCCCCGCCCCCCATCTCTTCCTTTTCTCCATCCTGTGGCCACATTAAGTCGAGTGAATTTAATTATGCGTGATATCCGTCGACGGTCATTAGCTTTGATCTCACGAGAGAGCCCTGTGACGGGAACCATTGATCGTACCGTCACCTGAACGTCCACCTTGGTTCTCGTGGCCGGGAGTGAGATTGGGGTCGTATTTATTTATTTATTTATTATTTTTTTTTTTTCAACGTTGATTTATTTTTGGGACAGAGAGAGACAGAGCATGAACGGGGGAGGGGCAGAGAGAGAGGGAGACACAGAATCGGAAACAGGCTCCAGGCTCCGAGCCACCAGCCCAGAGCCCGACGCGGGGCTCGAACTCCCGGACCGCGAGATCGTGACCTGGCTGAAGTCGGACGCTTAACCGACTGCGCCACCCAGGCGCCCCAATGTTTTTATTTTTGAGACAGAGAGAGACAGAGCGTGAGCGGGGGAGGGTCAGAGAGAGGGAGACACAGAACCCGAAGCAGGCTCCAGGCTCTGAGCCGTCAGCACAGAGCCCGACGCGGGGCTCGAACCCACGAACCGCGAGATCGTGGCCTGAGCTGAAATCAGGAGTCGGACGCTTAACCGACTGCGCCACCCCGGCGCCCCGCAGCCCCCCTTCTTACACAGTCAGGCCCCTGGTTGCCCTGGTTGTGCTCAGCTGTGCAAGGCCTCTTGTCCCAGGCCCAGCAACCCAGGCCGCTGTACATTCTGCATTCCTTGTGCCTGCCCTGACCCTGCAGCTCCTGCCAGGGTGACTGTCTGGGGCGGCCTCTCCCCCAACATTCGACAGAACAGCTACTGGTGTGCCTGGGGCCAGGGGGCTCGTGGAGTCCTGAGGGCCGTGCGGGAGCCTGTGGGCGCTTGTGGGAGGGAGCTCGGCCACCTGCTCTGGTCCCGAGAGGCCCTCCCTCCCAGGCTCCCGGCAGACATGCAGATCATCTGGCCCAGCCCCAGCTCCTGCAAGAGGTCCCACTGGCCCTGCGGCTCCCAGGAGCCAGCAGACCTGTCTGGACAGGGTGGCCGTGGCCGCGGCCCCTCAGACGACACCCAGGCTGGTCCCCCTGCGGCGCCTTCCCCAAGTGGTGTCCCAGGGTGCAGAATCCGCCCGGAGGCTCCCCTGTGGGTACAGGAGCAGCCTAACCAGCAGGCCCCACGGGACCTCACCACTTGCCCTCCCCCGGGCCTCAGTTTCCGTTTCCGCATCTGTGGAATGGCCATGGTTCCCTTCGTCAGCAACTGGGAGAGGCGGTGGGCACAAATTGGGGGACGCTTGGCCGGACGTACCCTTGGGCTCATGTAGCGGGTCAGCAGCGGGGCAGAGGGTCTGCTCCGCCCTGAAGGAGACCATTCGTTCGTTCATTCATTCATTCATTCATTCATTCATGTTCATACACACTTCCACCAGCGATGGGCCAGGGAGAGGGCGAGGAGGGCTTCACTGAGCACCTGCTGTATACATCAAGGGTGAGCCGTGCCCTCACTTGACAGCCTGGGCCCTCCTGCTCTACCTTCTGGCGTGTCCCAGGCCCCAGAGGAGGGTCCTGGAGCTCAGTCGGGGGAGGGGCTATCTGAGAAGACTCAGCCCTGGGCCCAAAACAAGTCCCTCCCTCCTCACCCTTTGCTCCCTGGCCCTGCCCCTCGTGTCTTGCGTGTGGTGACCTTGAGACAGACACCGAGGCTGGACGTGGGGGGGTTCACACCAGGAGCTGAGGTCACATCTGGTCCTTGGAAACCCAGACAGCTGGGAGGAGGTGGAGGGGCTGGGGCTGGGGCTGGGGGCTGGCGGCAGAGGGTCACCTGGCTTCACACGGGTCAGCACCCCGTCCCCTCGCTGTCCCGGCAGAGCTCAGCCTGCTGAGCGCCTCCGCTGCTAACTTCACAGCTACGCGGGGACGGCGTCGGGCTGTGACGTAGTGTGGGTCCCGTACTAAGAGAAGCTGCCCGCCGGGGGCGTGGGACAGGGCCCTGGGGCTGCCTTTGCTCTGAAAGGCAGGTTCCTCGTCCATCCCGTCCAGGGACGCCAGCCCCACCTCTCAGGCTGTTGAGAGCTTAGGTCTGTGCCTGGCCTGGCTGTGGCTCCCGGGAGCTGTCAGGAAACGTGTCCCTCCCTGTGTCCCCGGCCCCATCTCTGCTCCTCTGGATCCCGCCCGAGCCCCAGGCACCAGGGAGGACAGCCGGTCAGCCGCTGGGGTGCTAGCTACCTCCCACAAGCCACCTGTCCTCTGTGCGTCACTTAGCTCCCGGGCCCCACCCCCACTGGGGGGCAGCCAGCCCTGAGCCGGGGTCCCGCTTTCAGTTCCACTGGGAAGGTAGAATGTAGCCACCCCTAAAAGGCCTTTGAGGACCAGAGCACCTACTTAGTGGGGGGGAGGGAGGCGAGTTCAGTGCCCCCCAGGCGTGCCCGCACATGTGCACACACAGCTACAAGGCCGAGAGGAGAGGTGAGGTTGAGCGTTGGGCCTACGGTTGACATGTTCCAGGCTGTGCGTGGTGTGGAACGGGACGCCCGCCGTTCTCTCTGCCCCCAGAGCGGCACAGTGAATTGTCAACGTATGTACAAAGGACGAGGTTTGGATCCTAAGTCGGTGTGTCCTGTGTGGCCGCGGACAAGTCCCTTGACCTCTCTGAGCCTCCTTTGCCTCACTTGTAAAAGGGAACCATACTCCGCACCTACAGCGGGAGGAGAGAGTCCAGAGGGTGCGGGGCGGCGAGCTCCGGGGCCGGGCAGGTGGAAGAAGGGGTGAGCCGAGTGGTGGAGGCCCAGCACGGCCGGGGGGGGGGTCTCCCCGAGAACGTGAGAGGTGCTCGCCCTCCGGGGAGGCGTGGCAGGTGGCGGCGGGTGTGTAAAGAGCCACAGCTGAACGCCGCGGAGGCCTGAGGCCCACCGAGCCCCCGCAGGGCTGGGGCCTCCCGCTGCCCAGCCGGCCCCCTTGTCCCTGCCGCGTGGCCTCTGAGTCCTGCTGCCGCTCACTGTCGTGTCCCCTCCTGCCCGCAGGCAGCTGCTGAAGACGGAGCTGGGGTCCTTCTTCACGGAGTATCTGCAGGTGGGTGGTCTGTGCCCTCCAGGGGGCCGGGGGTGCTTTCCGCGGTGGCCAGTAGGGCCGGGGTCACCTCCTCTCGGTGGGCGTGTGGAGCACGGGCTTTCCGGGGCTCTGCCGCCCCTTGACTCGGTTTCCCCGTCTGTGCAGCGTGGATTGTCGTGAAGGTTAACGGCGACGGGCAGGTAAAGTATCCGCATTCGGGGTCGTTACGGGTTGTGCGCCTCCTGGAACACCGGCCTTGGGGGCGCCCAGGCGTCCGCATTTGGGTCGCCGTGTGGCGTCAGCAACGCGAGGCCTCTGTGTCCCCGGCTGTGCCTCAGTTGACATCCGTGACACCTCATCTGGCCAACAGGCCTGCAGAGTCACGAACACATAGAACCGCCTGTCCAGGTCACCCAGCCAGGAGGGGCCGGCAGAGGGCCCCCCCTTCCCGTGGGTTCAGGGTTGCTCTTCTCATTTAACAGCTTTGCCGCGGCGTGATTCCCGTGCAGCGCCCCCGTTTAAAGCGTGCGGTTCGGGCCGGGGGGGGGGGGGCTCCTTGTCCTCCCCTCTGGTTCCAGAGCCTCCCCAGCGGAAGCCCCACATTTAAAAATAATTTCTTAACGCTTATTTATTTGTGTGGAGAGAGGGAGACGCAGCATCCCACGCAGGCTCATCCCATCCGCGCAAAGCTCCCGACGTGGGGCTCAAACTCGCGAACCGCGAGATCGTGACCTGAGCCGAGGCCAAGAGTCGGACGCTTAACTGACCGAGCCCCCAGGCGCCCCAGGGGCCCCACGTTTCTAAACATCCTCCGTTCCCTGCTCCCCGCAGCCCCTGGCAGCAGCCGTCTGCTCTCTGTGCCAGAATGTTCCTATTCTGGAGAGTTCGTGTCAGTGGCCTTTCGAGCCTGCTGCTCCCGCGAGCACGGCCTTAGCGAGGGGCATCTGTGTTGCGTCCATTAGCGCCCCGCTTCTTTTTCCGGCCAAATAACATTCCACTGCGCGGAGACACCCCGTTTTGTTTGTCCTCCCGTCCGTCGGTGGCACTGGGCTGTTTCCACCTCCTGGCTGTTGGTGGTGCTGAGGCCACACGGTGTCGTTCTCGGCCAAGACCCCGGGGGCAGCGTGACCGCGTGCACCGCGCACTTTGGGCCTCAGGTCGCTGATGGCGCTTCACGCGCCAGGACGTCCGGCACGGGGCCCCTCTTGCCCGAAAGGTCTTCCTTCGCCGTGGGATGTGAAGGCAGCCACCCGCCCGACTCGGCTTGTCTCTGAGGGGTCCCCGCGGCCACCTCCCGTCTGACCAGCCCCGACAGTTGTCACTGCCCTCCAGGGGCGGGTGGTGAGCTGACGTTCACCCTTGGGCCTCAGCTGTGGCTGGGGGACTCCCGGGGGCCTTGCCTGCCGGCCCCCGCCCCCCCCCCCCCCAAAGCAGTGACAGCATCTCTGTGTGGCTTTCAGAACCAGCTGCTGACGAAAGGCATGGTGATCCTGCGGGACAAGATCCGCTTCTATGAGGGTGAGTCTGGCGGCCCCGTGGCGGGGACCGGGCGCCCGGCCACCCTCCCGGCTGGTGTGGCCGCTGGGCAGCGTGACGTCGCCGGCCTTTTCTGTGCCCCCAGGGCTCTGGGTGGGAGGGCAGGAGAGGCGGGAAGACCACCTCTGACCCCAGGAGGGGACCTTCCTGGGGAGAGCGTGTGCCTTCCCACGACCTGCGAGAGCCCGGGGGGGCTGAGAGCCATCGGGGGAAAGGCCCTGCCTCCCCTCGCTGCCCCCGGGGCCTTCTGCCGCCAGCGAACCCCGTCCCAGCAGCCCGGAGGAGCCCCAGTTTGAGGACCAGGGAACTAGCTTAGGGCAGAGGTTGGCCCTGATGCTCCTGAAGGGGGAGGCTGGCAGGGGGCTGCTTCCTGGCTGGGCACAGCTGCCCTGTGGGGCTTGGGGGGGCCTCAGCTTGGCCCTGGGCCTTCCAGACGAGTTTTCTCTTTTAAAGTTCACACCCACCCGTGAGACCTTCGGGTCCTTGTCCCCTTCACGGCTAGTGGCAGCCCAGTGAGGACAGGGGCTCCGTCTGCAGCCGCGCTGGGAGCAAAGGGTGGGGGCAGGTTCGAGCCCAGGCCAGCCCGGCCCCGGCCCCCACGAGCTCCAGCCGGCCTCGGCCTCGGGGCAGCCACGACGCTCGGCCCCCTTGCAGGAGAGAATTGGCCTGGGGAAAGATGGACCCGGCCAAACCACGCCTCCTTTTCCAAGGCCGGTTTCGTTCCAGGCCCTGCACCGAGTTCAAGCCCCACGAACGTTTCTGAGCACGTTCCGTGCACCAGGCACCGGGCACGTGCTTCCTCTGTGCCGGACTGTCCTGAGTGTCTTCCGGCTACCGATCCGTTGGGTCTCCCGACGACCCCGCGAAAGAGCCGTCATTACTGCAGCCGCTGCACAAAGAGGGAAACCGAGGCACCCGGGCCTGCTTCCTGGGCCCACGCTGCTGCCTCGGTTCCCACTCTGATCCTGGAAAGAAGGGGTGCTAGCCCATTTCGCAGAGCAGGACGCCGAGGCCAGCGGCCTGGTGGGTGCCGGCTGGACTCAGAGCCGCTCGTCCCCCAGTCTTCCCGTACCCCCTGCTTCTATCGGGCGGAAGCTTCGGGGCAGGAGCCCGAGAAGGGCCACCAGAAGCAGTCGAGGGGAGGCGGAGACAGAGACCGCCAGAGGTTTAGGCTGGCTTCCTGGAGGAGGCAGCAAAGGAAGCCAGCCGGGCAGGGCAGTGGGGGTCCGGCGCCGGGCGCAGACGCCCTCCCACGCCCGTCTCCTTACTCGGCACATTCCAGCGCGCTGTGCCTCCCACCAGCTCCGGACCAGGGAAGCTGGGATCCTCAGAGAAGAGAAGCTTTGTGCGGCTTAGTGGAGTCGTGCCTGGAGCGGCCGTGTCCGCCAGGCCACCCAGCGGGGGAGTGCCGGCCCCAGCCAGCCTCCCCAGGCCTCGGGGGCAGGCATGGAGCCCCAGTCTGGGGGCCGCAGGGCCTGGCCTCCAGTTCCCATCCAGCCCAGCTGGGGACGCAGACACGGACCGGAAGGTGGCAATTCAGTGTGAGGACTGTCAGGGTGAAGGGAAGCTGTGGGGAAGGAAGAGTCCGTTCCATCTTGGCAATCAGGGAGGGCTGCACGGAGGTGGTGGCCCTGGAGTCAGGTCTCAAAACGTGGTCCGTTCGGGAGGACGTTTGGCCCCTTCAGTACGTACCGTGGGGACAGCAGCTGGTGCCGCACCCTGAGGGTCAGCCTCTGGAACCCACTCCACCCCGCCCCCTGCCCCCACGTGGGTCCCAGGGGAGCTCTTCCTTGAGACCCCTCCCTGTGGCCAGCCATGTCTTCACCTGTGCCTCTGCTGGAGGAGGATGGGTGGTCTCACACGGGGTGGCCCCAGGACCTTGCTGCCTACCCCCCCGCACTCCCTCCGGCCTCCAGCGAGGCCTTGGACGTCAGCTCCCAAGCGGAGAGAGAAGCAGGAAGCCCGGAGGGACAGCCTGGAGGGGGAGTCCCTCTCCTGGGCCATTTCTGAGGCCGTGGCTCGGTGGTCTTCGCTGCAGCCAGGACAGTCCCCTCAGCGGGCAGGCACGTGAGACCTCCCCGGAGGGGCGCAGGGTGTCCTGCAGGCTCCAGGCCCCGTGTGTATGAGGACACCCGTGACGCCCGCCCTACGGAGGGTCCCGGTGGGGTCCCGCAGCAAAGCCGAGCAGGGCCCCAGCGCCGTGCCGCCTGACTCTGCCCACTGACCACCCCGTCACCGCCCCCCTCCCCCGGCACCCCTAGATCCCAGCGGAGAACGTGGCCAGTGGGCGAGGCCGTGCTTCCCGGCCCCTCGTGCCCTCGTGGGGCCCGGAGTCTGTGTTTTACGACATCTGCCTTCCACAGCACTTCCGCCCCGTGGGCTGGAGGATGGCCCGCGGACGCCGGCCTGGCCGGTGCCCAGAGCCACCCCACGGCCGGCCCAGGGAACTGAGCCGTCTTTGTTCTTGCCCCCAACGGCGGGGACCTGAAGGGACCTCTGGAGGGCAGGGCTCCGCAGAGCTAGGTGTGGGCCCCCAGGGAGGGTCAGGAGCCGGCCGATTGGCCGTGCACAGAGGCCACGCCACCTCAGCTGGGTGGGCTTTCCTGGGGCTGCCCCCTCCCAGAGCCCTACGCAGATTTGGGGGCTTTATGGGCGGGGGAGGGGTGGGGCCCAGAAACCAGAGAAAGTAAGGGGGAGCGGCAGAGGCCCCTGTCCAGCCCCCTGGCTGCCGTGGAAGCGTCCAGACAGCCCCACGTGAGCAGTGCGGTCTGGAAAACCAGCCAGCATGTGGCGCTTAGCCCTCCCGCCCAGAGACACCCCCACACCCCGTTTCTCCACAGCCGGTCTCCAGTCTGGCTCCCAGGGGGTTGGGGGGGGTCCCACCAGGCAGAGGCTTTGGTGACACATCCCGGGGCCTGCTTGTCTGAGACCCCGCAGCCGTTCATTCTCCCCTTCCGTCCAGTCCAGGCAGGGGGGCTGAGGGCTCAGCGCTTTGCACTTGCTGGGGGAGCCCAGAGCCGGCTTGGGGACACCTCTGTCTTCAGCCTCAGGGGCTGTCCTCCCTGAGGATGGATGCTCCTTCCCCGGGGCTGGCGGAAGTGCCCAGAGCTTGGCCACATGCCTCCTTTCCACCCCGAGGATGTCAGTCAGCCTGGCCAAACACCATCCTCCTAAATCAGCTTGGATGGCACCTCCTCCAGGAAGCCCTCCCTGCCTGGTTCTCTCCACTTCCTCTCCTGCCTGGGGCATGTTCCTGCTCTTGGATGTGGTCTCCCTGGCTCCCCGGATCCCACCTCAGGCAGCCCGGGGTGGCAGGGACCCACGGCCTGAATCTCTTGGAGACTCCGACTCTTTGCCCGTTGAGGTCACCCCTGCAATGGACAGATGACTGTGCTCATAGCTGCCGTTCAGGGTCCTGCTTCCGTGTCCTGTGATGAGTCTGGGGACCTTTGAGGCTCCCCTGGATGCCCAGCGCGGGCTCTGGAAACACCTGCATGGGTGGATGGATCCCCCACCTGCTTGAGGGTCACTGTGGGAACCGGACGGGACTGGGATGTGCGCTGCGGCTCCTGTGGCGGGGGCGGGGGAGTCCTGTGTGGGCCTGGGGTGTGACAAGGGACCAGGAAGCAACAGGCAGCACTAACCAGCACTTTCTCTGCCCCGGGCCCCGTTTCAGCCCATCTCATCCCTGCAGCCCTGGGAGGTGGCCCTTTCACTGTCCCGTTTTATTACTGGGGAGGCTGAACGGTGGACTCCGGGCCATGGAGCTGCTGAGTGCTCTGTGCTGTCAACCTGGGGGCGGGGGGTGGGGGGGGGCCGGAGCCGGGCCCTCTGCTCCTGGGGACGGGGGAGGACTCCCACCCGGGGGGGCTGCGGGGTCTGACAGGGCCCTTTCAGGGTAAGCGCAGTGACAGCTCCCTGTGCCCCCAGGACAGAAACTGTTGGACTCGCTGGCGGAGACGTGGGACTTTTTCTTCAGTGACGTGCTGCCTACACTGCAGGCCATCTTCTACCCGGTGCAGGCGAGTGGCCCCTGCGGCTGTGGGACCCCCAGGGCCCGGGGGGGAGGGGCGCGGCCCGTGCTGGCCTCGCTGTAGGCCCCCCGGCCCGGTGATGGGGTGATGGGCAGGTGCCTGGACCTCCCAGAGCCTGTCTCCCACCCACAGTCTGGAAAGAAGGCCGGTCCCCGCCCCCGTCCGGGCCCCGTAAGGCCCTGAGCAGCACGGAGTAGGCTGTGCCCAGCACACAGTCGGGGCTCGGCCAGTGACGGCGACCCTCCCCTTGCCTGAGGAAGCTGACGGGGCCCTGTCTTCAGGACGAGGGTCATCCAGGGAGGAGGACGGGGTGGAAGGGGCCCGAGGGCCGGCGGGGCCACGGCCCCGGGTCTGGCCCCAGATGTGTGGACGCGGAGGGAGGCGGGGGTCTCCCGTGACGGCCGCCGGGCGGGGCGCACCGTTCTGTGTCTGCAGGGCAAGGAGCCGTCCGTGCGCCAGCTGGCCCTGCTGCACTTCCGGAACACCATCACCCTTAGCGTGAAGCTGGAGGGGGCGCTGGCCCGCACCCACGCCCGCGTGCCTCCCGCCATCGTGCAGATGCTGCTGGTGCTGCAGGTGGGCGGGGCCCCCGGGAGGCCACCGTTCGCTCCTGCGTCGGGGGCGTCCGGGGAGGGGGGTGGGGGCAAGGCCAGGCTCCCCAGGCCCAGAGCACGTGACCTGTCAACAGGGGAGAGGGAAGCGGGAGGGGCCCAGAAGGTGTGGGAGGAAGGGGGTAGTTCAAGAGAAGCGGAGCCCGGGAGCGGGCACGGGCCCACAGCTGCGCCTTCACGCCCCTCCCGCCCCGCGACGGTTCCAGACGTTTCCGGGGCACGCGGCTTTTCCCCGAGAGGGCAGCTTTGGGAGGGGGCCAGCAGCTGGGGGCGAGTGGCCTGGCCGAGACAGCAGAGGATCCGGCGGGCCACCGACAGCCTTTACCGCAGACAGGGACTTTTGCAAACCGCTGCGCCCCAAACCCCGTGACAGGCACGGCACCCCACAGTTTGCCGGCTCACCCTCCAGAGTGACAGGACGGAGGCAGGCAGCTGTCAACCACCCCATCCTCGCTTGCCCAGAGCCAAGAAGGCCTGGCCTCACCCACGTCTGACAGGCTCCGAGGTCCTGTTCTTCCTCCTCGCCCCCCACCCCCACCGTGCACGCGGGCACCCTTGATCAGGGTCTGCGAGGTTGGTCCCGGGGTCCCGGGCAGCCCAGCCCGTGCGGATTCCAGGGCAAGGGAAGGGCGGATGAGTGTCGGGGTTTGAAGGGTCCCAGCGGCAGGTGAGAGCTGGTGGTCGTCCTGGCGGCCGAGCAGGATATGGGACGGGCCCGCCGCCGGGCTTTTGAAGGGTTTTAGGTTAGACCTTGGCCGGTGGAAGCAGGGTGTCTCAGCCTCTTTCTTCACCTGGGTGACACAGTGGAACCGCCTGCCTGCAGGGCAGGTTCCAGGATGAGGGGGAGAAATCAGATGTAAAGCCCTCTGTGGTGCTTCTGGGAGCCCTCGGGGGCCGGGCTGGGATTTGGGGCCACGACGGAGGTCCCACCTGGATCCCGGCACCCAGGTGGGTGGCCAGGCTGGGGCGGTGCTGCCCCCTGGTGGCCCGTGTGCCTGACGCAGCTTCCTGGGCTTAGCCCCGTTCCCCCACTCTCCTCCTGGCCTGCGCTTTGAGCGACCTCGTCTCACAGCCCCAGTGAACTCGTCCCAGATAGATCTGAAGACACAAATGCTGGTTAGCCTGTGCTGAGGGCCTACTGTGTGCCCTTTGCTTCACCGGCAGTCAGTCCCTTCCCCTCCCCGCCCCCCACCGTTGCTGGGGCCAGAGGCAGTTCTGGGGAATGTGGGGTCCCTCGTGCCCATCTAGATGGCTTATGGGGTGCCCATGGAATCCCGCCCCCCAGACCTTTGGTGTCTGTAGTGATGGCTCCTCTCTCATTCTTGATGTTAGGAATCTGTGTCTTCTCTTTACTGGTTGGCCTGGCAGGAGGCTTAACGACATTACGGACCTTTTCAAAGAGCCCGCTTTTGCCTTTTTCTCTGCCGGTTCCCTGTTTCGGTCTCATTGAGGTCTGCTCGTACTGTGTCTCTTCTTCTGCTTCCTTGGCTTCCTTTGCTTTTCTTTTTCTGGTCTCCGCTTAGATGGCTGACTTTCGGGCTTTGTCTTTTCTAATAGATATCCGTTCGAGGCTACGCTCGCCCTCAAAGCACAGCTCTCAGCGCATCCGGTAAATGTGGATCTGTTTTCGTTTTCATTTGTTGCCAATCGTTTTAAGATGTTTGTGAGGCTTTCTTCTTTGATCCACGTGTCATTTAGAAGTGAGGGAGTTTCTCAGTCTCCACGTATTTGGGGATCTCCCCCAGTTATCTTTCTGTTCTTGACTCCTGGTTCAGTCTCGCTGTGGTCCGAGAGCAGGTATTGTATGATTTTTTTTTTTTTTTTAACCCTTTTAAATTTGTGAAGGTGTATTTTACGGCCCAGAATGTGGTCTGGCTTGGCAGATGTTACGCATGGGCTGGAGGGGAACACGTGTGTTCTGCCTTCGTTGGGTGAAGGATGGCGGTTAGGGCCAGTCGATCGGCTGTAGTGTTGAGTTCGATGTGTCCTTCCCGAGCTTCTCCCGGGGCCGGTCTGTCCCTGCGCGAGCACGGGGTTCCCCCACCGAGGGAGCGGACTAACTCCCGCGAGTTTCGCCTCACACCATCTGACGCGCTCGTCGGGCGCAGGCACATTAGAGGTGGTTCCGTCGTCCCAGAGACTTGACCGCTTCATCGTGGCATAGCGACCTTCTTGAGCCCTACGGACTTTTCCTTGGTCTGAAGTCCACCCTGTCTGGAATCATCTTAGCTGCTCCGGCTTTCCTGTGACTGGCGTCGGCGTGCAGGGCTCTTTCAGCCCCTTACTTTTAATGCGTGTGTGGGTTTCTCAGGGGCAGCGTGTTGCTGGACTCTCTGGCTGTCTTTTGACACGTTGTGTCCAAGTGTATCTTGTCCTGTGAGCAACTGGCAACCCCCTAGAAGAGAGGCGTCTGCTCCCGTGGATTCAGACATTCATTCGGCGAGCACTCACTAATGGCCTCCCATGTGCCAGCCCTCTGCCTCGGCTGCTGGGGGCACAGAGCTTGCCCCCCCCCCCCGCCCGACTCCCCGCATCAGCAAGACCAAGGCTGTCCTGGGGGCGGCCGCCTTCCTCAGGTTTTGGCCCTAATGGAACCAGAGGGGGTAGAGATCCCTTCAGAGCTCTGGACAAGGGGGCTCAGGGAGGAGGTGGACGGGACCTGGCCGGGCCGGCAGATGAGGGGCAGGGCTGGCTCGACCCGCTCTGCCCGTAGCGCTCTATGGGTCGAGGGCAGGGGGCCCCAGGGCATGGGCTGCCCTCGCTGGGGGAGGTCAGCTACTGTCTCCCCGAGGGCTCCCAGAGGGAGGAGACTCTATCCCAAAGGGCAGAGCTCGGAGTGCTCAGCCTGGCTTAGCCACCGGGCCCTTTTCCACGGGACGTCACATGCTTTCGGACCACACCGGCTGCTGTGCGCAGAGGGCAGGCTCCGGGGTGTTGAAGCAGGAGAGGGACTCGGCGGCCCCAACTCGAGAGAAAGGGCTGGGGAGGGGGAGATCACTGTGTGCCCTGCGATGGGGGCAGAGACCCCGTGGGAATGGCGAGGAGGGACGGGCCGTTCGTGGTGACCTTTGAGCGGAGGCTGGCTGGGCCACGGAGGCAAGGAACGGGCCATCTAGTGACCACCTGCCTCCCTCCCTCCCTCCCTCCCTCTCTTGCAGGGGGTGCACGAGTCCCGGGGTGTGACCAAGGACTACCTGTGTCTGGAGACGCTGATCCAGAAGGTGGTGTCGCCCTACCTGGGCACCTACGGCCTCCACTCCAGCGAGGGCCCCTTCACACACTCCTGCATGCTGGGTAGGGCTTGACTGGGCCTGGGGCGGGAAGCTGGGCGATCCCTGGCCCCGTGCACCTCTGCCCAGGGTCCAGGCCTCCCAGTGAACAGACGGCCAGAACCACACCCCACTGGGCATTTGCTTTTCGGTCATGAGAGCACGAGCCCCGCTATGTGCCGGGCCCCGGACCCACTAGGGCCTGGGGTCCCTCCTTCAAGAACTGAGGGGGGCCCGGCAGGCAGACACCGTGTACGGTGATGCGCCGACCCCCCTGAGAGCCCCACAGGGGCCTCCGTGTTCCCAGTGGGGTCACATCTGCGCTCAGTCCTGAAAGTCGAGACTGGCCGGCAGAGGCCGCGGCATGTGCAAAGGCCGGGAACCCGAGAAACCTACCTTGTTTGCAGAATCGCAGGGGAGGGGGAAGGGGGGAGTGAGGCTGCTAACCCTTTAACAGAGGGCCCGCTGGTTCATTCAGCTCTGTAAACAGAGTGGCTCCTATGGGCCGGCCCCTGTTCTTGGCCTTGAGGGATAGGCAGAGACCAAGCCCCACCCACATGGGCTCTCGCCACCAGGGAAGGCAGACCAACCACTAAACAGTCCCCAGAGGAGTCCCCAAGGTGACCCATACCCAAGTGATGAGAGGCCTGTGGGTGGAAAGCCCAGGCCAGACTGGAGGGTGACGGCTGAGCTGAAGGACCAGGAGGAGCCAGGCCTGGGAAGAGGTGCACGTAGAGCGTCCTGGACGGAGGGGGCAGAGGCCCGAGGGCCACAGGGAGGAGAACTTGGACCCTGCCCCGCTAGGAAGGAGCCTCCGGCTCCCGCCCCGGAAAGGCCGCTGAGCCGCTCGCCGTGCGCAGTGCTGCCACCTAGGGTTCACTCCGCGGAACTGCAGGGCCCCGAGTGGGAGCCTGAGCTCTGCCCACCTCCCCCTTCCCACCCCCGCTGTCCTCTCCTGCCCCCCGCCCGGGGCGCCCACCACACTCGGAATAAAACCTCAGCCACGACCTCACGTGGAAAGGCCTTTTGTCATCCTGCCTCTGTCCTGGCATTTCACCACTTCCTGACCTATGGCCCACCCACGTGGGCTTGTCACCCCCCCCCCC